ATTACCCCTCAACATCAAGAAAACAAAAATTCTCACAACTGGACCAATAAACATCATCTTGACTGGAGATAAGATTGAATTAATTATTTCACTTTACTTAGATTGACAACAAATAACCAATAAAAGTAGCAGTCAAGAGAGCTATCTATATATTCCACTAGTCAAATCTTCTGCAAAGGACCTCTTTTAAAGTGCTGAAAAATAAGGATATCACTTTGAGACCTAAATTGCAGCCAGCCACTGCCATAATTTTGTTTTCTATGCAAGCATGGAAAAAAGGTTAATTAGGAAATATACTTTGCAAAGTAAAACTATTTACTAAGGAAGACATGAAGGATGGGAACAACTCCCTAGCCATGGTATTTTCTTTTTTTTTGTTTTGTTTTGTTTAGTATGTTTTTTAATTTAAATGTATTATTAATTTCTAAAACTTTACAGAGACTTTGGATTTCCATTCATTCATTGTTGCACTTTTCTCCCCTCCCAACTCTCCCCCCAGTACACTACTCTCTTGGAAAAGTAAAAGAAAAATTCTTTCATTGTTTTACAAACCCTCCCCCAGGTCCACTCCACCATGTAGCCTTTGCTCTAGACTCCTGTCATAACAAAAATACCTAATCACATTTCCCTTGAAACAGTTTTCTCCCTCATCTGTTTCAAGCTATGGTATTTTCAATTGCCTCCTATGTATACAAAATTTGAATAACTAATAAAAGGAAGACTGAAGAAGATTTGATGCTTCTGAATTGTGGTCTAGGGGAATTGTGCTGATATACAAGGGACTTCCAAAAGCACAAGCAGATCTGTTTTGAAAGAAGTTCAACCAGAATGGTCCTTAGAAGCAAAGATAGTGAGATGTGGTCTCATATACAAGGGTCATGTTATCAGGAGGGCTAATCCCTGGAGAAAGTATGCAGAGAGTTGGGGGGGGGGTGCGGGAAGAAGATGCCTTTCAATGAGAGGGCTTGATACAGGAACTGCAATCGTGAGCTCAAGCTCGAGAGTGATTAGGAGACTAAAGCAAGAAGAGCTTCCTTCTGGTGTACACAGGACCCCGATGAGTAAATTAACCATCGGCACTTAACATTTGCTAAAAGCAGGATAAGGACAAGACAAGTGAAGCCTTTTTTTTTCAAATGCAAAATTTAAGGAACTTTAAAAAATAACTCCCATGGAAATCAAGATGAAAAATATGCAAGACATCAAATGTTTAGATAAAGACAGAATCATGATGACCAAATTTTGTTCCAGGCTTAAAATGACAAGGCACAGAAGATCCCAGGACTGTTTGGTGGGCAACGGAGGCTTCCTTGTCCAGATTCACCAAACAGGAGAGTTTTAATCCGTTCTTTCAGGTCCTGAAATGAATTTGGTATTCTTAGCTCTGGTGACCTAATGGCAAAGAGTTGCACTACTTATCCAAAAGTGGTGGTGGTTGTTGTTGTTGCTGTGTACCATAGTCAGAACTGACCCATAGCTGGCCCTCCAGTGGGTTTTCAGAGGCAGTTAATTGCACGTGAGGAGATTACCCATCCTTCTCCAGCAGAGCAGCGGGTGGCCTCGAACCATGTGCCTTTACCAGCTGTGCTGAGAAAGTAAGGTGAGCCGTCTTCCTGTGTGATTTACAGCCTCTAAAAACCTGCTGGAGGATAAGTTAGCTATGGGTTGATTCTGATTTGGCAGTATATTACAGCAACAACAATATGTCCATTCTGGTTCCCAATGATGCCATTCCATCTCTAGGTTTCAGAGAAGAAAAGATGGATATATTAGAGAGTGTCTAACCATTCAATAGTCCTCTAAAATGTTATCTAGTACACAATAGAGTCTGACTGTACCTCTGCAGAAGTCTTTCAAAGCATGATTCATCATCTCTGAATATCTCAGGAGTGCATTCATGCCCTACTGAGTCAGCACTAGCACTTTGTCTATAGCACTTTAGGTGGGACTGAGTTCTCTGCTGTTGCTCTTTCTCTATGTGCAGAAATCCCTGGATGGGACAGAGATTCTCCTCAACTGGAGAGACAATCTCTATTGTCATTCTGTCCCCAAACACTATCTTCATCAATAGAGTCTAGATCCAAATAGGGCAAACGTCTGCCTTACATCAAAATACTCTCTAATTAAAACAACTATGAGATATCAACTGACCCAGTCAGAATAGCAAAAGTTAACAGAACAGCAAGCAACAAATGCTGGCAAGGTTGTGGAGAAACTGGGACCCTTATTGACCGTTGGTGGGAGTGTAAAATGGTGCAACCCCTGTGGAAGGCAGTATGGCACTTTCTCAAAAAGTTGCAAATAGAGATAGCATTTGACCCAGCAATTCCACTACTGGGAATATATCCCAAAGATACCATAACTGACATCCAAGCAGATAGATGCACACCCATGTTTATTGTGGCTTTGTTCACAATAGCAAGGAGTTGGAAACAACCTAAGTGCCCATCAACAAATGAATCGATAGAGAAGCTGTGGTGTATTTACACAATGGAATAACTATGCTGCATTGAAAAACAAGGAACTCATGCAATATAATTCAAAATGGTTGACTCTGGAAAGCATTATACTGAGTGAAGTATCTCTGTCACAAAAGGACAAATACTGCATGGTGCCACTGTTGTAAAAGAGGACTGACCTTGGGGTTGGGGAGAGACTGGGAAAGATGGGTTCAATAATGTATATGGCACTGAAACAGATGAGGGAGAAGACTGTTTAAAAGGGATATGGGATTAGGTATTTTTGTCATGACAGTAATCTAGAGTGATGGCTACATGGTGGAGTGGACCTGGCGGAGGGTTTGTAAAACAATGAAAGAATTTTTCTTTTACTTTTCCAAGAGGGTAGTGTTCTGGGGGGGGGAGGCTTGTGATGGGAGAAATATGCAACAATGAATGAATGGAAATGATAAATTTAAAAAATAAGTTAGAATAAGGAAGGCAATGGATTTATAACTGTTCATGCTAATAATGCTATATCATGGCATGGAGGAGCAATAGTGAAACTGTATCCACACGTACAATATTCTTCTTACCAAAACCATTTATGAAAAATAGGAACTGCATTGGAACATGTATCTCTGGAATGGAAATGATCATATTGTTAGTATTTCTAGCCTTAAATTTAAAATATTATATCGTTCAAAATTATTTGCTTTATATTTGTTTAAATTTTTTCCTCTTTTAACAACTGGGATATAAAGGGAAGAGAAAAGACCAGAGAATGGCCAAAATTATTGGAGCAGCTGTTGCTGCCAGTTTAAGGCCTAAGTCAGGAAAAGGAAGTCTTACTCGTATACAGTGCCACCTAAAGGTAATAAAGGAGGTCAGAACTGCTTCCACTGTGGAAAGCTGGGCCACTTCAGTAGACAGTGTCACAGACGAGAGCCACAGATAGGCAAGGGAGTAGAGAGGAAGCTCCCACTCATTTGCTTTAAGTGTGGATCTGAAGGACACTTGGCCAAGGGCAGCCCACATCAGGTCCTCATGGCTGACAGGACTGACAGGCCCCAGTTCCCAGCTGGAAACAAAGGAGGATGCTTCAACAATTCAGATCCTCCCAGAAGACCTGTGGGTGAGCATTAACATTACTGGTAAGTATATTCATTTTCTCCTGGACACAAGAGCCTACTATTTGGTCCTAAAAGTCTTCTGAGGTCCCAATTCTTCTCAGTTGTTGGAATTGACGGAAAACCTCATAAGCAGTTCCTTACTTCACATCTGCCTTGCATGCGGACTTCCAAGCTGTAAAACAACCCAGTGGTAGATGGAATTTGGTCCAGGACTTAAGAACAATAAATGACATAGTTGAGCCTCTACATCTTGTGGTTTCTAACCTTTATACTATAATAGACAAAGTGCTAGTCAATAAGCCTTTTATTTTAAGAACTACCTTCCCTCTGTAATTTGATTTGTGCCACTATTAGGACCTCTACTTGGAATAATATTGCTATTAATTTTTGACTCATGTACTTTTAACTTGTTTGTTAAATTTGTGTCTTCTAGGATGCAACAGTTCCGTGATAAATCTTCAAGGATATGAACATGTATGGCTAAGCACAACTGATAACAGTGCATCTAAATTCCAAAATCAATCTCCACAATAGTCTATGTATTTTCTATTGCCAAAGGGGGCGTTTAGAGTAGTGAGAGAAGATCTTCACCCTGAAACCTACAGCATCCCTTTTCAGCAGGAAATAGCTAAAAGAATACACCATCCCCTTTTCCTTATGAATCAGGGTGAAGTCTCTCTCAGGTAGGAATGATAGGGAATGGCAAAGTTTACATGACAAAGGAGATTAATCAGAACTGGCTTTGACAAGTACTGTGGCAATGGGACAATTAAAACAGACTTTCAAGGGGGAAAAAAGAACAAACTGGGGGTGGGGGTAGAGAAAACAGTGCAACAATGAATAATGGAAATCCAAAATATCTGTAAATGTTCATTAAAATTAATAAAATTTAATAAAAATAAAAAATACTCTCTAATTAATGACAGACATCAGTAGCAGTAGAGTTGTTGCTTTGGTTATTGATGGACCCATGAAGTCATGAAGCAATGGTGCCTGTTACACAAAAGGCCCATATACTAGATCTGTGGTTTCTTAATCTTTTAAACTCAGAACTCTTGCCTCTCTGCCTGCCCCACCCACAAGGGTTACTCTATATCAAGAGACCCCAGTGTAGGGAAGGGAACCAGCTGCTCCCGAGTCCCAGGACACCAAAAGGACCTGTTCTCACTGGAGCTGCAACCCAAATACTGGGTAAGACAAGAAGCCCAAGGTCTGGGGAACAAGAGTGGCAGCAATCAATAGAAAACAAAGTAGAATTAGAACCTACAGGTGCTGTCATTTTGATATCATTTCAACTAGACAGGATCTGGGAGGAGAGAGGGTATGGAGCTGGCGTATGAGAAAAGAAGTCTTGTAGCAGGAGTCACAGGACTTTACCATAATTGAACTATGGTGCTAAAGATACATTATTTCTTTTCTCTCAGGAAACATGGCTTCAAACCTGTACAGCTTTATTCTGCTGATGGGGATTTGGGAAATGGTGGGATCATTCCATATCCCACAGGGGTTTACACCGGCTCAATGGTTTATCACACAGCATATGAATATGTCCCATCCCATCTGCAATAACGCAATGCAAACGATTAACAGGTTGGCAGGACGACGCTGCAAAAACCAAAACACATTTCTCCAGACTACTTACCAAGTTGTAAGTGGAGTTTGTTATAACCCAAATGTCCGTTGTAGGAGTGGTCTGAACAACTGTCATGTAAGTAGCATGGCAGTGTTTGTAAACCACTGTAACCTCACAAGGCGTAATCCGAATTATAGACTGTGTACTTACCAACAGACAAGAGCACTGAAGAACTATACCATTGCCTGTAACAACAGACAAAATGCAGACCCCCCTCAATACCCAGTGGTTCCAGTTCACTTGGATGATGTCTTTTGATCTCCTGGATGCGCATTCTGTTCCACTGCTCACAAGGACTTACACTCACAGCCTTGATCCCATCCACGCACCCACCCTGATGCTGGTCTCTGTCTTCCTCACATCAACCCCTTCTATTGCTGAGTTAAAGATCCTTTGGCTTCTTGCAATAAAAATTTTTGCAGCAGCATCTGAAATTCTATTAATGTGTCCTTTATGTTCTGCTATCAATTAGTCACAACTTGGTCTCCTCAATACTCTATCCTGCAATATGAGATTTGTATGGGAAAACAAATCAGGAGCTCCTTGCATACAGGACAGGTTTTTTCTCTGTGTTAGGATGAGGAGTTGAAATACAATTGTAGTTTGCCTCTTACCCTCTTAAGAATAAGGGGGTACCTCAGAACAGGGAGGAAAAACCCCCATGATGTATCCTATCACTTTTATTTCTAAACCGTATACTTAAAGGAAATTTGGTGTTGTGAAACAGAAAAAGAAAGAAAAGAAGTTGTTGGTGTTATTGTTGTTATTGCTGTCAAGTTAAGCCTGATTCATAACAACCCTATGAGCAAAAGACCTGAAGCCTCTCTATAGTACAAGACACAAAATGAACATAACAAATGCCAGGAAGAAAAGAACAGGAATCTTACTCTCAAAATCATTTACAAAATAAATAAGTACATCTAATATCCATTATTTGCAATGATATTGAGACTAAATCTAGGGCCCAAGTCAAATGAGAAGAGAAATGGTTCAGGCAGCCACATTGGCACATCATGGAAAAGACTGTATAAGAGGTAGACATCATTCCTAGCAAGTCTGGGTCCAGGAACTGAGGAAGACATATAAGTGGTGTCCCTAATCACAGGATTAGAAGTACATTGATCCTCAGGTCAGAGAGCCCCAGGAATGCAGTCTGTAGGGTGTTGCCCTGATAACTCAAAGGCAGCACCTTTCTGAAGGTTGTAATTCACCATTGGCTCTGAGTGAAAATGATGGGCTGTCTCCTCCTATGTGACTTAAAGTCTCAGGAAGCCAAGGGAGGGTCAGCAATGAGTAGACTCTAACTCCACAGCAATGAGTTCACTCACAGATCAGGAAGGACCACAGCCTCCACGTTAGAAAATGTAAAGACTCACAGGAAAAAAGGAGCATATCGTGAGAACTCCAACATGATCAAGGTGGAGTCACATTTCCTCTGAAGAAACATGGGTGAAAACGTCTCACATTGGATGCCAGATCATTATATCACAATCAGTTCTCATTAGATGTGTTTGTTCCTGCCCTTCTCACCCTCAAAAAAGAGTATGACTAATCCAGGGCAACAGACAGAGTCTAAATGAGTTTGGGGACCATACAGCCAGAGAAAGGAGCCCTAGAGATACAGGGGCTAAGACCTCAGCTGCTAACCCAATTGTTAGCAGTTCAAACTCACCTATGAATCCATGGGAAAAAATTTTCAACCTCAGAAGCCCTAAAAGGCAATTCTACTAACCTTTAGGGACAGAATCTGTCCACTATATTGCAACTGGTTTAGACTTCTGGTAGCCAGGGAAAGATAATAACCTTGTGCTTTGAAAGCTGATGTGATTTGTAACATTTAAGTTCTACATGTATGTGTATATCTCTATGGATTTCTTCAGTAATTAGATTTTTTTATTATTTTATTTATTTATTTAGCCTCTTTTTTAATTATTAATTTCAGTAAAAATTTACAGAGACTTTGGATT